TCATTTTTACATGTTCTTATGTTATACCAAAAGAAAAAAATACATCTTTTAATCAACAAAGAATAATTTTCTCGAAACCAAAGCATATTCATCTTCAAGTAGTGAAATTAAGATGGATTGTTGATTCAACTTTTTTCAAGTAAGTCTAATTGATTATATTCTTTAATTTTCTTATTTATAATATTAAAAATAATACTTCTAAGTCTCATGATACTTCTAAGCTCAAATTCAAAAATAATTTATTCTATTTTAAGGAATGATTATACATTATAGAAGGCAAAGCATGATTATATGTTTTTAAGCTTGTCTTAACTTTCTAGTAGCTAGGCATTTTGGATACAATAAGACTTTTGAACTAATATTTAGAAATTTTTGGTTGCTTCAATATAGAAGGAAATTAAAAAATTTGTACAATCATATAATATTTTTTCAAGATCAAAAACTCCTCATCATCAATCTTATGGATTTCTTCAATCATTATCTATTCTAGTACAACCACAGTCTTTTATTTCTATAGATTTTATCACAAATCTTTTAGTCTCAAATTAGCATGATTTTATACTTGTGATATTAGATCATTTTATCAAGATAATTTATTTTGTATCATGTACAAATTCTATCATAGGTAAAAAAATTACTAAGTATTTTTTTTGACAACATCTATTGCTATCATAGATTGTCTAAGGATATTATATCAGATAAAAGAATTAAATTTATATCAAGATTTTAAAAAATCCTTTTCAAGTTTTTAAAGGTCAATATAAAGCTCTCTTTGACTTTTTTTTTTCAAATTAATAGACAAACATAGCATGTAAATCAAATTTTAGAGTAATATTTAAGATATATCATTAATTACTAATAATATGATTGAATAACTCTTTTGTTATTAGTAGAGTTTACTTATAATAATATAATATATTTTTCTATATAACAAACATCTTTCTTTGCTAATTATAATTATCATCCATTACTTGATGTTTTTGACTTCTCAAAGGTTGATAATCTTGCAATAGAAGATTTGATAAATTATTTATTTAAATTCCATACAAAAATAAAGGTATAATTAAAAGAAGCTTAAAAATGACAAAAGACTAATGCAGATGCCTATTGCAAGGAGTAGCCTCAATTCTATATTGGCAATAAGGTATGGTTATTTTATCACAATATCAAGACTAGCTACTCTTGTAACAAATTAGATTGCCATAGACTTGGACTATTTCCTATTTGTGAATAAATCAATCCTGTTGCCTATTGGATTCTATGAAGATCCATTTTATATTCAACATATCTTTTTTTAAGCCATATAAGATAGAGAATAAAATAGGAAGAAGACAAATGCTACCTCTTCCTATAGAAGTGGATAATAATAAAGAATTCGAGGTAGAAGAAGTCTTAAACTCAAGGCAACACCAAAATAGATTAAAATATCTTGTTTATTGATGCAGATATGATATTAATAAACAAATATAGAAGCTAGTAAAAAATCTTACAAATACAAGAAAAAAAATTAATACTTTTTATTGATGACATCTATCAAAACCAAGATGAAAGATAATAAAGCTTTGTTATAAAAAATCAATATTTTAAATAAGATTTCATCCAACCTTCTATCTTTGTTTATAATTTTTGTATATTTGTAGTATTAAAAAAATAGAGAGTCAACAATTAATAAATTTAATTTAAGAGCCACCATTTGCTAACTTATTAGACAAGATATTGCAATTATCACAACTTTTAAGACAACGTAATCAAGATAAAGATCTTCAAAAGCAAAATATGCTTCTTCAAATAGATGTTAAGATACAACATGTTTGATATCACAATCTTAAAATAGACTCTCAATATTTGGTGATTTCATTAGAAATAGGAATGACTTTTGATAGTGTCACAAATATTTTTTTTTAAAGAAGTTACGAAGGCTTAAATAATGATTAAATAATATGGTGTTTTTTTTTTTCTTCTTGGAATGGGACATTATTGGTAGCTAAGACGACCTATCAATTATCTTCAAAGAAACAACAATTAGAGTATATAGCAAATACAATTTGTCACATTTTAGATTTCCTCAAAATGTGATTACTACTCTTTGTGGAATTCATCCATAGAAGGAGGAATAATATCATGAATATTCTTACAATTATCTAAATAATATAAATAGATAAAAATAGATTAATTTAATAATATCTTATGGAATAGCTTCCTAGAAGCTTTATAATTGGAGTTTCAGCTTTATACATGTGATTGATAGGTTAAAAACTTGGCCAATAAGTTAGCCACATGTGACATGTATTGGTAGCTTATTGTGTAAACTAACAATGTAACACATTTATACAAAACTTCCCTTGCAAGTTAAGACATGTGTCTTACAAATTAAACACATGTTGGAGTTGCAACATAATCTTTGAAATTTATCATATATGCTTAGAGTTGCAACATAAACTTTAAAATCTTGCCAAAATTTGACAAACAATTTTTCTTTAAGGATTTTTTTGAAGTAGTCAAAGTCCAAATTGAGATCTTATTCTTCTTGTAGTGTAGTTGTTTGTAAAGATCACATTCTTGGTACATGGCTATAAATAGATGTAGTATGTTATTTCACATGCTATTATTCTAAAGTTCTATTGTTGAGCAACCTCCCATGATTTTTACATATAATACAATCTTGAAAAGTGATTAGAGTACAAAAATCAGTATTTAAAAGAAGTTTATATGGCTCTTAAAAATTAAGAAACTACAATAATAATATTTTTCAATCAAGTTTATAAAATGCTATAATCTAACTTAAAATCCTATATCTTATTATATTAGACGAATTGATATTCTTACTAAATATATTTTTAAAATTATACTATAAAAGAAATAACTTTAGTTATTAATTAAAGATAATTTAAATTTATCATATTCTTATGTATGCAAATGAATTGAAAATCCTAACCATAGCAAATATAGGTGGTGGAGTTCTATAACTATAATCCAAATTTTCTTTTTTTTCAACTTATATAGAGATTTTAATTTAATTTTATATTATTTTTCTAAAAATATTATATTTCAATAAAATCTTCTATTGCATAATCTTTAAGATTTACATGGATTAAGGAATTTTATATTTTTTTATTAATTATATCATTTTTTTTACTTTGATTTAATTATATTTTTTAATAAAAAATATATTTCAATTCTTGTTTGTAATTAAAAAAACCATTATTAAAATAGTAAGTTAAGATATTTATCTTCTATATTTCAAACTATATTGAAATAGATAATTTTTTATTTTATTATTTTAAATTAAACTTTAAAACTTTAACTTAGATTCTTCTATAAAAAAAACTTTCAAATTTTGTTCAATATTATTTTGGTGCTTATTTTTGGTGTTTCTTTGTAAGGACCAAAATTCAATTTATGTATTGCCCTTATTTCTATTATGTAAAAATTTTATTTAGATTTTTACATTTTATTCTTTTAAAAATAAATTTATTTTTTAAATGTTTTTATCCATTTTCATATGTTTAGTCAATTAACATTATGTAGGCTATTTAGAATAAAACTGATGTATATATATATATATATATATATATATATATATATATATATATACACTATTATTTTAAATATACAAGTATATTAATATTTATAAGAGATTGCAAGATATGTGTATTAGTTGTGTTGATTTAATTAATCATATTTTTGGTAAATAGAAAAAATTAATTAAGTTAGTATAATCATAAATAATTTTTATTAATCAAATAAAAATGGTTTCTAAATAGAATAAAAATTCAAAATTAAAAAAAAATTAATAAATATAAGAAGAGTTGTAAATAAATGGTATTAATAATTATTTTTAAACATCTAAAAATATCTTCTTAATACTTAAAAAATTCTAGAATGTTAGAATTATTTATTGAAATAAAAACATTCATCCAAATGTATAAATTAAATTTTATATTTTTTTCTATAAAACATATATATATATATATATATCTATATACAATATATAATTTAAAAAGTCTTAAAGATAATATTTTAGATCCAAGTTCTTTGTAGAAAATCTTAATTAACATGCAAAGATTATAGAATTAAAATTTGATAAAGATGGTATAATATAATACTTACTATCAAAAGATTTTTTTTGAAGAATTAAATTTAAGTAAATCTTAATGATTAAGTTATTGTATTTAGAAGATTTACTCTTATTTTTTTTAATTTATATTACATAAATATGTCTTATTTATAAATAAATATATATAAAGTATGAAAGAGGGGTGTATATTTAATTGGTTTTTTAAGAAGCAATTGAAGTTAAAAAGTAAATTAGGCATATTGATCTTCATATTTTTTTTAACCAACAAAATTTAATACATAGTTTCTTGACAAGATATTTTTAATAATTTAATAACTTTTTTAATAAAAAAATACAATGTGAGAGTTGTATGAGACTAAAGTTGTTTAATTTAAAATTATGTGGAATAAAGAGATTATATTTTATCATATGGTTTTAAAAAAATCTAAATAATACTAAAATTGAAAGAGAGATATTTCTAAAAAATCACAGAATTGTACAATAACAAGAAGTTTTTTTTACTTTTTCCATATAATATATTTTTTGACATACACTTTTTACTTTTGACACACACTATATACCTTTTGATATTATTTAGATGTTGTCATTAAAGTCCAACAAACTTTTGTTGCATGTGATTGTTGACTATTTTTTAGTGTTAAAAAATAAATATTGACTAAATTTTAATTCCAATTTAAAATTCACAAGCTAAACTAAACTTCAAACCTCTAAATGTCTCACAAAAAGCAAACAACTCTAAATGTTAGGTCAAATATTTAATTGTTTAGATAATAAAGCATGATTAATGTGTGTTACCAATACAAATACAATTGCAGAGAGTTATGTAAATACTCTATTGTAAATCATGTAAATTCTCCATCTCAAACATCATTTTCCAAAAGAAATTACCTGTAGCTTAATCTACATAATCAAGCAAAACACAATATTTAATTTACCAAACTATTGTATCTACTATGTACAAGTGGCAAATAGTAACAAATCCCAATATCCCGTTACTATCTGGAAAGCATGATTGGGGGCGTATCACTTCGGGAATAAGTAGCCGACGAGGTGTTTGGTGGGCATTGACCACGCGAGATGCAGCGTCTACATATGCGATGAAGGCATGGTGGACATTCTTCAAAGGTGTAGACATCGCGGAGACTCCCATTTTTTAGAGACTTGCAAGTGTTGCAGATCAATGCACTGCTCTCCTCTTACCCAATTCAGACAACTCTCTGTAGGTTGTTCGTAACGGTTTATGGACGTCTCGATCAAGCTGAGCAGTGACTTAAGAGTATGGATTGATTTCGGGTGTAGATGCGATTGCTTAGCATTCATCTGAGGCCGTCTTGATTTGTCAACGTCGGCATCGAATCATACAGTCGTGGAAAGTCCTTCAGGTACAAGATAACGCGACATATTTCATAATATAGGAGAATAATTGTCGCGGGAGTTGTCCCCACCTCCAAACCTTGATCATTTGTCGGTAAATGCAATGTTCATGGGCAACCAAGAACATTGGAAAGGAAGTCATCTACTGTTGTGATATATTTGTTCCCTACTTGGCGTGAAAAGGAGGAATCGGAGTGTTGCTTATTTAAACAACCGCAACGATGAGGCAAACCGAGTACTCTTCATTCTGGAGCAAATCGGTGCAGGTCTCGCAATACATTGATCACGGTGACGTTGAAGTGGGAATTCGATGCGGGGTGCAGCGGCAGCAAGGCATCCTGGAATGATGCCCAGAAGATTCAAGCGGTGGGTATCGGTCTTTAAGCTGCTGGGTCTGGGTCACGTCGCTGTGCACACATTTTTTGTTTCTCTAGACTGTACCATCCAGCCGTATCTCCGACGAGTTAGACAACTTTGTTCAAGGTTATTCACGGACTACCGTCTGTCTGAATCATCGATATTGTTTGGAATGCATTTACCACCAGGCAACTGAAACATCCTGTCATCTTCAAAAACATGATGAAGTAATTATTTGCCAGTCTGCAAAAAATGTGGTGAAATATTGCAATATTATGGCCGTCTCAATACTGGGGAATTGCTTTTAGTTCGGGGTATAATTTAAAACTTACTCAATTTGCTTCCGGCTGCCGTTGCATGCAACGATTGTGAAGAAAGCGTTAGATTTTGATGCCAGTCATACTTCATACAGATATCACTTCTTACTTCACACGGATTCGTTCGTCGGATGTTGTGGGGGTTGCCGACTACGACTATCGTAAGAGGACAGTAGCGGTGAGCTCCCCCCACCTTCTAAGCTTTGAATCTGTTGACCTGTACTACTCACTCTTCACGTTCGAATTCGCGCTGAATACAGTTCCCACGTTTGATATGTCTGTGCTGATGTCGTGCCAAGGGCTGTAAATGATGGATGCTAATTACTACGGCTGGTTTGCTAGTATTGTTGCACGGATGCGTGTCCATCGGTACTAAGATTTGAGAACTCCCTGACATTCAACAATGGTAACAAAGCGTTTTGCACGGCCATTGCTCTGTTGACAGAAAAACGGAATAAGGATCGAGACCACAGGCAACCGACGATTGATGTTGAGGAATTACGACTCTCCACCTACACCTACTGGAACTGTTTTTGTACCGACAGTAGACCACAAGATAGAACCACCACCACCACCACCAGACGCATGAATAGTGTTGTTTCTAGGAATAATATGTTTGAAGGGAGTCATGTAAAAAGCGTTTAAAATAATAATTATTATTTTCAAAATCAATGTTTTTATACTCCTCAGGATGTGCACTGATGTAGACTAATAAAAAATTAGTTTGGTACATTTCATGTCCTCTTTCCGTTTTATACTATATTCAAAAACCAACACTTTCAACAACAAAAAAAAATCTTCACAAAGTGGAAAACCTAGATAAAAGTTTTGAACCATGACCTTTAGAAAGGTGGGCTTCTAGATGTAAAGTCCCTTGATAAACCAAAGATTGCTATAACCTCAAATAACACGACAGACCCTCCATTCTATATTGCATGTGTGGGCGGACTTTCTCCAAACGGCCACCATGACGTGTTAAACCAGGAGGTTATCATGTTCCTAGGTGTAGAAATTCCGCATCCAATACGGTTCTCCAATCTCGACTACAACAATCTATGTCCAGCTTTTCACAGCATACATGATCACTTGTTTCTTTACTGTTTCAAGCATATGCCGTAAAATTCCACTACATCTCGCGGGCATACAAATCAACTTCTTATCATAGAAGAGCACACAGCCGGATTCTCACCAGTAACGCTCATCTCACTTGTGAGGAGAGTTATTCTCCACCTTACTGGACCGTGTGTTGGTTAGATTGAGCGCCAATGTCGACGTTCACAAGGTAGCTCACACTCCTATAGCTTCAAGGCACTTCAATTTGCATACACAAAAGAGCAATAATAGCTTCAGGGCGAAATAAAAAGTGCATGGGACTTTCAATTGAAAAAGCGCCACGGTCGACTGTTGAAACCAAGGTTGCTTCTCGGATCGATCAACTTCGAAGACAAATCGGAAGAAAAAACTCCATTACCTGTCATCTGTCAATTAATAATCAACACTCTGACGAATTCAGTTTGGCTATGTGAACCTATACATACTCTCAACAGATGAGTTGGATCAATGTATCTCCTCTGATTACCACAAAAGATCACATTCAGAGCACGTGCATCACTACTTTTGACTCTACAACATAACCACAAGGAGAGCCTTCTTTGATTAGCGAGTGTGGACAACCATGACACGCCTGACAGTTTATTTGGGGATATGCTAGTCTTGTACTCATAAAAGTAGCAAAACAGTTAGGCCATAGGATGCTCTCTTAGGTGTCCTGGAAGTGCCAGCTCTTCAGCATTCTCTTCACCATTTCCTTCACCCTTCGTAAGTGCTGCTAGTTTCTGCTCCTCGTTTTCACCATCTGAGCTTGCGGCAGGCTTATCAGCCTTCCGGTTCACGTCGGATGGCTTTGCAACTTCTTCGGCGACCTTGGTCTCTTCTGAGGATTCTGTGGGCACTTCCATGACTTCGGTCTCGGCTTCGGATTTTTTGAACTGAGATGATGGGATTACGTCTTCTGGGAGAGACGTCAGTGGTGATGCGTCTGTGCTCTCGGGCAGGGCTGGTGCCACGGATCCTCTATGGGCATCTGTTTCGACTTGGTTTACAGTTTCCATAGGAGGCTCGGCTGAGGTAGTCCCTTCTTTCGCGAGCACTTCCTCGGAAGGAATAGCATTGCAGTCAATAACCACCCACGGTTGACGCTCCTCCTGAAAAGCCCTGTATGGTTCGCAAAAACTGTACTTAAGTCCTCTTCCAAGTTTACAAAACCACGAGTATGTGAAAGTCAGTTGTAATTGCATGACAATTTATGCGATCATTGACACGTCGGATAAACAAACGCTGCTAGATTACATCGTCCGAGCTCACATCTGTTAAGCACTGCAATCATCGACCAAAGACACGTTTACATAGTACAAAATCAGATACTTAGATACGAGCGCATAAACAGTGTTTGGGGCGTACGGGTGCTTGCACAACATGGGCGCATCAAACACAAGGGTGTACTTGCACGTAGGTGCCTCTTTGATGGAATTTATTAACGCTCGGCCTGTTTCTGAACACACAAACCTCACCTGTTCCAGCAAGCGTGAGTGTTGAGATCAAGGTAAGTAACTTTACATAAACCTACCGTATATCATCTGAGATGGAAGATGGTACACTATGCACACAATGACATTCGGAATAAAAGCACTACAAAAAGTGCAACTTTCAAAATACCATTAAGCAGGGGACTGTAACAGGTTAGAACCAGGAGGTAGTAACACCTCCGTGTGACAGAAGCAGCTCATCTGAAAGAGCTTGACGAAAATGAGAATGCAGCTGGAATCTAGGTTGTGAATATGCTCACAAGGGTACATCAAAACTAGGCAACTGTAGGCAAATAGCGCAAGTATTAGAAGCAAGCAGCTTTCCCAAAATACGTACCTCAGTCTCACGAGGCTGGTTTGTAAGATCACAGACAGTACCATTCGTGTAAACGTGCGCATGATATCTGTAAAAACTTGCGGTTATATTGTTGTAAAAGTGCATATTTAACAGCTGATTGAAGTTCGTAAGAGGAAGCACGCGTTGGGTGAGGAACATACCTCTGTGCTGCGCTTTGTGAGCGAGGGTCCTTCTGAAGAGAAATGTTGGGAGAATTCTCATGTAGAGCTGCTGTCGCCTCTGCATCATATGTGCCCAACACAAATTCTTGGACTATCTGCTCAATCAACAGCACCGCAAACTTTAGTTGGAAGTTGTAATCATGTCCAGAGACTCACAAGCACAAGCAAAAGCAGAGCGTTATCAATGGATGCAACATATACTTTTGTGAAAGCAATGAAATAATAAATAAATCAAGTACCTACAAAATTTTATAAAATTCTCTATAATTTCGTCGCAAGACAGGATGCAAGCAATTTGCACAAATTGCTGACAGAAGCACTTGATCCTCACAGCATATGATCAATATAATCAACAAGTACACTAAAGCGACATACGATCTTGCGAAATCTGGGGCCTGACAGATCCCAACCTAGATCTAAAATACTTACGGGACTTACTGACAGTAGTAGTGCTTGTCTTTGTTAACCCTGATTCATGCAAGAGTAACTCACTTGAGAAGAACTGATTCAGCGAAACCAAAAACCCAGTTACTCCACACGAACTCCAGAGGAGTCCAGCCTGAATAACTGAAAATCTTAGACGGTCAACTTCAATTGCACTCAAACGACTCCAAGGGGCAGAAAAATAATCAGATGTGCTTATGTTTCGCAGAAGCAGAATATGACACTATCATTGGTCCATATATATATATATATATATATATATATATATATATGCCGGTTACGACTTCAATAAACGTAATAATGCAGCATCGGTAAGACCATAGCGCCATCTTGTACGGAGAAAGTAAATAGAAATATTATGTGAACCAGAACAAAAATTGTGCGCAAGCGTAAAGGGATCAATACCACCTTCCTACGAGTGCGAGAGTCATGTGGAACGCTTGAGAGCTGCTGGACAAGGGTGAAAAGTACGCTATTGAACCTTGCTCCATGTCAGGTCCAAATGATCTGATTGGAGCCTGACACAAAGCCAGGCCCGCAGAGACTGACCGATGGAATACAGGTGGTTAGTCAATGCACCAATTCACATCATGCTCAACCAACCCTATTCTATGAAAACCTTGAATCATGCCTTGCTCATATCCGAAGTTGTACAGACAACTTTGGACATTCATGGCTTACGGTCTTCTGCCCGTCGTAGGTGTCGGCAAAATTGCTAACAATAACTAGCTATTCATCATGAAATATGCAACTAAAACAGACCTTACGATTTATGATCATGAAAATGGCCAAGGTTCACCCAGACCTGCACGGTCCTAATAACGGCGATTATGGTCCAAAGAGACTATTATCAAATAGTACTACGAAAAAATACCCAAAAGTAATCAACGCGTATATTTTGCGTGATGACTGTCATCACACTTAAGGGTAGCTGGCCCCAAAAACATTCCAGCCAAGTTTCATTTCCCTTGGTTTATAATCTACAGTCACACAATGACCGTTTTTGACCTGCAGTCTAATACTACTCTGGTCTTACATAGAATCTCACAAGTGACTTCCGTCGATTTCAGCAAGAGAACTGATATGGATTTGGACTATAAGCTTGTTGCAGCGGCAAAGAGCCAACATCATGCCATGGCCGAAGGTAAGAAAACGACAGACAACGCCACTGGTAATATTTTCGTGAAGTGATCGCAGCCGTACTCCTTCAACATCAAACTGCTACAAAACTAACTGTAGCGCTCCGGTCTCAAGAACATGAGGAAATGTGTAATCAATCAAGATTTACCTGACACCTCAGTTCCTTACTCGAAAAATACGTGTAGTATATCATTTTGCAAACACGTGGTAGAAACCACTTCAAACCGCTAACAAATTTTGGATTGATAAACAGCTTACCTTCTTGTCATGAAGATGAAACTGGCGCAAATGACCCTTGTAGCATAGCTCATAAATCCACCATCCCTCGTACTGAAGTACATAAGAACAAGACACATAATTAACTTCCTCAGACAACTTAGTTCTGTACAGCGACCGTCCTTGAAACGCTCAACCATCTATTTTCCACTTGCAAAAATGTGAACTGGACGTCAAGAGATACTCGAAAGTTGAATTGCAAAGCAATTCGAGCACATAATTGAAGCCTTGGGGGCATGTAAAGGAAAGACGACAAATGAAAAGTCCATGCCGCTCATATCAAGTTCTTAGTACTCACATTACCGGCAGGTAGGAAATAGGCTTACCCTGCGAAAACACTTGTCTTTGAGGACGTCAAGGAGATCCTCGGGAGTTTTACGAGAAGACCGCTTATCCGTCACCAAGCTGGTATTAGTGCCATTCTGTTCAACTACGTCCTTATTCAGGAGCTTGGTGCTTTCTAACACGGGTAGGTTACACCGAAATTTCTTCCCATCCCTGTCTGTCATAACGATGGTCTCCTGGTCTGAAGTCTGAAATACCAAACACGTAATGTAAAAGCAATTTGTGTTCGATTCTATATCACCTACGGCAGGCGGAAGACAGTCAAATTGATCATGTCGAAGCTTAGCAACTCAGAGCATTCAGAGATTGACAGCGTAGACTAGACCTGGGCAAGGAACATTGAGCCATGTCCTAAAGCGTAATTAGCATATTCTCTTCTGTGCAAATTCGGTAGACCCATCATAAATGCTTCGCATCCTCAATGCAATTGATATACCGTCTTATCATGGTTAAGGGTTTTGACTTGTGATATCGTGGATAAGAGTGAGTATAAACATCTAATCGAGAATTATTGTGGAGGGTATGAGATGCAACTAACATTCAGATTTTGGTGTTATACCATAACCAAACACATGATACAACAAGCAAGGAGTTTAGAAGAAGAATGTACCGGAAAAATGGGAGACTCCGCAGGATGAAATTCTATTTTATATTTTGGATCTTGCAGGCTGTTATCAACGTCTGCTGCCATTTTTTTAAGAAATGGTCAGAATCAAAGATCCTCTTTGAAGAACGAATGCGATGAAATTAAGAAAAAGAAGCATCAATCATCAATCGTACAAAGCTCACGTCATCCAGGATTGAAGATAAGTGAAACGGAACGAAACAAGACGAAACCAATCTATTTCAGCTAAAAAAAGAAGAGATACTAAAATCCTCCACTAATCCATTAAGAGAACCTAAACTTCGACCCGGAAAATCATCACGGTGTTCGAAACACTCACTTGAATGAGAAGAGCGCAAGCTGTCGGCAAGAATTGGCCAAACTGAAATCAGAAAAAGGAAAGCCAATCCAAACCCGAGGTTCGCCATCGCTGAAAACCCGGCAAGGGAGTACACAGAAGTGAAGCTTGGCAAAGTGCAGGCGGAGGCAATGGAGATCGGAACACAGCGCGAGAGACAGTCTCGAAGCTCGAAGGGTGAGGGACTACGAAACAGAGGAGACTACATCGTATTCAGTATCACGGAACCTACACCGTATTTTGAATCACGGAACCGGCATCGTAGAACTGACCCGGGTATCAACCCCTTATCCTTACTTTTACTTTTTACGCGTGGAAAATTCATCCATCCACTGACCCATCCAGTGAGTCCGGTGGGCATTGTGGAGCCTCTGCTCTCACACAAGCTAGACTCTTGGGTGCCCAGAAATGCGTTCATTCTCTGGTCTCGCTGTCTCATGCAGTGACCCAATTCCAATGCGTCCTCCATTGTTTGCAATCCGCTTCCAATATCTAGCAGCATTGCTAATTTCATCCCGATTACGCCTAATTTGCATGCGCAAAGAGAAGGCTTTGTTGTGATGCTCTTGTGTCATGTTGTGTAGTTGGCATGTCTGAACTCGAGCTAGGAAGTCTGCTCCAATTTGTCGACAATTACTAGCGCTGGGGTTCTCTTTAGTGTTTTCTCTTTTCTCATTTAATTCGGAGGTGATACAGGGATTGGAATTAAGTTTTTTTACATTTTTTTTATAATTGTGTGTGTGTGTGTTGGGGAGAAGAGAGATCCGCGTTTGCAAAATGGTTTTAGTAGAACCGCTGCGAGTTTTGAATTCGAGAAGTAGATTCTATGGATTGCAGTCGTGCGTCAGTCGATGTCCAGGGACCTTAGTTGTGACCAAAGGATGCGTGATTACCGCGAAAGCCTCAAATTCTCCACATGGGGTGGAAGTGAGGAGACGAGGTGGTGATAATGTTCATAGTGGCAGGGTTTCGCGTCGTGATTTGGGGTTATTTGGCATTTCGTTGCCCTTGCTAGCGGGATTCGCATCGAATTTGGAAGCCGAGGCAGCGTCAAGGTCAGTGCGGTTGAAGGATGTGGAATATCCCAAACTGCAGGAAGCATTGCGTGCAGCCGTGGCGGGGGATTTGGAGAAAGCGGAGACCATGTTCTCTGAGCTCATTGAAGAGGATCCGAAGAGCGCCAGTGTGTGGTCCAACAGAGGTAGCGTCCGTGTCTCCTTGCAGAAGTATGAGCAGGCCGCCGAGGATTTCACGAAGGCTATCGCTCTCGCCCCTGACGCACCTGTGCCGTTCCTAAACCGTGCAATTTCGTATGAGGTGAGAGCACACTGCCACGCAGGGAGGCCTTCATTGTGTAGAAAGACTACAAAACAATTTAGAGTACATTCATACGCTCTCAAGGAATAAAGTTGATAGAGATTTTGCTTAGATTTTGACCTAACAGTGAACATTTACAAGCAGGCGATGGGACGCTTCGACGATGCTATTGCGGATTGCAAGACAGCCATCATTAATGATCCTGAGGTTTGCATCTATGACCACTTACATTCGAGCCTTACGTTTGATCTGTCCTGTGTTTTTTACAAGACAATGCAGTGCCGAGTACGTAGCAATAGCACGAGGGAGTTTGTGCACGAATGAAACGATTAACTGAAGTGCACAATTTCTTACGTGATACTAGGAATACGCAGCGTGGTTTAATCTGGGTAATGTGGAGGTCCGGGTACGCGATTACGATGCCGCATTGAATGCGTATTCTCGAGCGTCCAGACTGGCCCCAGGAATTGCTGGGTACCGTCTAAAAGAAGCACTCGTTCTCTTTGAGGTGAGTAGCAAAGCATGGGATCTTTCAAGTGTGTATGCTTAGATGTTAATCCAACTTTTCTGAGATTGTTGTTGATGTTCTACTCACATTAATGTGTGCTTCTGCAGCTGAACAGATTAGAGGAGTGTAGGAAACTGGTTCAGGGCCTCGTTCGGAAGTATCCAAATTATGCAGAGGCTCATGCTGTATTAGCAGCTGTATTGTGGAAAGAAGGTAACCGTGATCTGGCTGAAGGGCAGTTTTCAGAAGCAACTGTTCGGGAACCAAGATACAAAGATATCAGGTTTCAAATCACAGCTGTATCTATTATTTATGATTTGCATCGCGCTAATGACGCTCGCTCTAGTGTTTGAATTTTGCTTGGAAACTATAAACATTTGGAAGCATTTAATTAGACTTGGTTGTCACCTGAGCTGCAATCGGCCGTATGTGGTGCAGGTGGGTCGGGAATGAGCTACAGTGGCCACCGGGACTCATGACTGCTATGGGCAAGTTCCTCAATATCACTTACTGAGAACAGCATTGCGCACAATTCCCAGTTCTGTAAAACACACAACTTCGTCATTTTGTGAACATGAGTGATCTTTTGCAACAGAATATATACCTATTGTTAGTGAAGTATGTGAAGTTTGTAAGTTTGTGAAAGAAACACTTTGATTATATGGAGAGAATGAGTCTACGAATATGGCCCTTCATGGAGTCTACACAACCCTTTTAATGTAAAAACCTCATCGTTGGCTTGCTGTCAGTAAATTACATACCAGTTAAAAATCATGAGTATAGAATGTACAAGTTCAGTATCTGTGAAAAGAGCTATCACTTTTCTGAATGCTCAGTTTTGCATTATGAAGGCTCACTCTTCCAAAACAACTACAATGATTAAAACTGACAAGTAGAAAAAATGCACTTCTGGATAGATGTGTAGATGGTCGAAATGAGTTCAAAGATTGATTAAGCTACATATATTGAACTTTCATGAAATTGAGATTGATCATAAAGTATGGGATTGTTGATGTTAAGATCATTTATTGGCACATGTATTGCTTACAAAACAATGAACTAGACTTGGGCTTAAACAAATACTATTGATTTTTTTTTGAATATGTTGCTTATTTAGAAAAAATATTATAAAGTACAAAACAATGAATTATATTGTTGTTGAAGTAACTAATATAGAAGCTTGGGAAACACATAAAATAAAAGATTTAACAATTAGGTATAATAGAACAAAAGTTTTGAAGAAGTAATATGATATAGTAATTGTTTTGTTACTACAATTTATAAATAGTGAGATATATACTAATTATAAATATTAGTGTATTTGGATGATGTAGTGGTTTTTTATTGAAAAACAAATGCACCATTGTCTTTAACTTACAAGGTCTATATACTATTTAAGTGTAAATTTGAATAGTTTGATACATTATCATGGACATACATATTTATTCTAATAATTACCTATATGATTAGATAAAAATAAATAAAAATAGATTAATTTCTTAATATCTTTTAGAGAAGCTTTCTAAAAGCTTTTTAGATGCAATTTTGACTTTATATGTATTTGTAGTTGATTAATAGGTTAGAAATTTGGTTAACAAGCTAACCATGTATCACACATGTTGGTAGCTATTGGAACAAGTTAATTATATGGAACACATATAGAAAACCTCTTTTGTAAGTTACGATATATATCTTATAAAATTAACACGTATTAAAGATCTTATAGAACATTACCATATAGCTCCTAGTTAGATGGTATATATAGAAGCAAGAGTGAAGCCTTCTTCATTCTTGTCAATGCCTTTATTATCTTTAGTCTTATTTCAAGACTTTCTAGTTTTTTTGTCTTTGATAATAGTCATTTTAGTTTAATATATTACCATCTTTGAATGAGTATCTACTCTTTTTGAGTCACATAAAAGTATTTTGATCTTTCAATTCTTTAAGATTTATATCCTTGACAATTTGATAAGAGTGCTAACTCATTGTTCTTAACTTATTATAGAAGTAAGCAAATTATTCCACTTCTATTGTTGTGTTTTAAAGCTTGTAGACTATCCACTTTTAAACAAAGAGTTTAGTTTTACAATATTGATTTTTCTTTAAAAAGATTGAATCACCTTTCTTTGTAGAAATTTTCATTTAACATTAGAGGTTGTAGATTATCATCCTCTAATTTGATTTGTGGACTTACTAAGTTATTTGAAATGGAAGGAAGAATCATAGATGCTATACTTAGCAGAAGTGGGAATAGATTTGCAACTATTACAAATCTTCATGAATTTGTCAATACTCTTAGGATGGAAATTTCAAGCATCACTAATGCCAACCATGGAAGTACTATTCCTACAACTATAGTAGAAGTCTAAAGTATACACTAAGAAGTTGTGATATTAAGGAAAGCAAGTAAATCAACCTTATAACCAAATTTATGAAATCTTCCTTTTACAAGCATGAGGGAAGCAAAGATTAGTATGCTCAAGAAGTTTGATGGAACAAGATCAAAATTTTGAGGATTTTTGCAATAAGTTAAGCTCTATTTATGGTTGCATCTTTTTTACTACTCTAATGGATTTACTCAAGTTGCATTCATAGGCACACTTCTTTGTGAAAATGCTCTCTTTTTATTTGTAGCTTTTATAGAAAAGAATTCACAACTTTTTTATGATATAAATTCATTTTTAAAAGTATTTATGGCCACATTTGGAAAAAAATGATCAAAAAAGAGTTAAAGAGACCAATACTTATCTTTATGATGAAGATCACAATCAACCACCATATATGCTATTGAATTCTAAAACCTCACTTGTGACTTTGATTAGAATAACAAAGTCCTTATCAATCAATTTTAATATAAGTTGAAGGATGATTTCAAAGATTTATTATTAATAATATCAAAAGTAGATTATTTGGAATAATTTATTACTCTTGTCATTGCATGCAACAATCAATTATTTAATAGGCATCAAGAATAAGAATTTGGTTAAAGGAGAACAACTCAAGTAATAACAATTGTTCCTAAGTTATCAAAAATTTATTCATCAAAGTTAAAAATAATATAAATTGATATAATATATTTTAAACTTTTCATTGAAGGAAAAAAGACTTGACATTGTCAAAAGGATTTATACTTATATTATAAAGAAACTTAAGACATTGCTCAAAATTATCCAAAGAAGCAATTTAATTACAAAATGAGGAGTATGGTTGCCAAAGAAGACAATGTGTCAAAAAAGTAGTTTTTTCAATTATAATAGAGACCGTGCAATTGAAATCATATGCAATACCTAGTAAAGATATCAAAGACATAAATCTTGAAGAAAGAAATCCTCAATACATTCTTATGTCACTAAAAAGAACTCAAAAATCACTCAAAGATGATATAGTATTGAAGTAGAATGGCTATTGCCAAAAACAAGAAGACTAGAAAGTCTCAAAATAAGAGTAAAGATTAGAAAAACATTGATAAGAGTGAAGAAGGCTTCACTCTTATCTCCATATATACTCTTAAGTAGGAACTATGTGGCGATGTCTTATAGGACCTCCAAAACAAATTGACTTTATAAGATACACATCTTAACTTGTAAGACAAGTTTTTAATATATACACTACTTAGTTAACTTTTTTTTCCAAGTTATCAACATGTGGTTAACTTCTTGATCAAGTTTCTAACCTACTAATCAACTACAAATACATGTATAGTCAAAACAACATCTATGAAGCTTCTAAGAAGCTTTTTTAGAAGATAGTATGAAATTAACTTATTTTTATTTACTTTTACATATTTCTACTTAATTATATAAGCATTTATTAAAATACATATATATGTTTGTTACATTATCTTCCTTTCTAAAGATGGATTCCATAAGGAGTGGTTATCATGTATTGATGAACTCCAAGATGCAGTAAATTATATTTATCACATACTCTAATCTTTATTTTTTTTTATGGTGGTTGATAAGTCCTCTCAGCCATGAATAATGTTTTATATGAGGATAGAAAGACCACCCTATTATTTGATCATTATTGAGGCCTTTATAACTTCCTTCAAATAAAAAATTTGAAATACTATCAAGAATTGTTTCTATCTCTAATAAAATCATGAAACATTTCCAGTCTCTTCTAATGTCATGATACCAAATACATTGTAACTTGCTACCTATTTGAGGAAGGATATGTTATTCTTGAAAATATTCATCTCAATTATATTGACTTGAAGATTGTGACAATCACAATGTCTTGTCCAATAAGTCACCAAGTAAAAGCTCTTAAGTTGAATCTACTAATTGTTGGTTCTTTATTTCTTTAGTATCATAAACATATAGAAGCTACAAATAAGAGTAGAAGGTAGAATTTTATCTTCCTTGGATCTTGTTTCTTCTATAGTAAAGATTTGATATTCTTCATCTTCATTTTGATAGATGTCCTTGATAAAAAGCATCAACTTTCTTTACTACATTTATAAGATTTTTTGCTGGCTCCTATGTGTATTCACTAATTTTATATTTGTACCAATGAATAAGATATTCCAACCTATTTTGGCACTACCTTATATCTAAGACTTCTTCCACTTTGAATTCTTGATTATTATTCACTTTTATAGGAGGAAGTGGCATTTGTCTTCTTTTCAACATATTCATTGTCTTACATGGCTCAAAAAGAGATACTTAAAATATGGGGTGGATCTTCACAGACTCTAATAGATATAATCGATAAGCAATTAGATTGACTTATTCACAAATAAAAAAAGATCTAATCCTATGATAGTTCAATTTGTCACAAAGATAAATAGTCTTGATATTGCAACAAAGTAATCATACCTTGTCATTCACATCGAATTATAGTTGTTTCTTGCGATAGGAATTTATATTAAACTCTTATCATTCTTGACCTCTTTTTAATCATGCCTTTATTATTGCATGTATCTTTGACAAATAATTTATCAAATCTTTTATCATAAGTTTATTAACTTTTAAAAAGATAAAAATATTAAGTTTTAGATGATAATCATAATTGATAAAGAAAGGTGTTTATTAAATAGAAGAATATATGAAATTATTGTACTCAAAGTCTACCAATGGTAAAAGAATTGTCCAATCATGTTGATAATAGTTGATGGCATATTTCAAATACTTGATTCACCTATTCTGTTTGCTTATTAATTTGAGGATGAAAAACCAAAAAGAGCTTTATATATACCTTTAAAATCTTGAAAAGGATTCTCCAAAATCTTGATATAAATTAAATCTCCCTATCCAATATAATATCTTTAAGCAATCTGTGATAGCAATAGATATTGTTAAAAAAAAGCTTAGCCATTTCTTTTCCTATGATAGATTTTATAAATAGTATAAAATGTGTTATTTTGTTAAAACAATCTAGTACCACAAATATTGAATCATATAAATCTGAGATTAAAAGATCCATGATAAAATCCATAGAAACAGAAGACTATGGTTGTTTTGGAATAAATAATGGCTGAAGAAGTTTATAAGATTGATAGCAAGAATTTTTGGATCTTGAAAAATGATAAATATAATAACTAAACTTAAGGTGCTTTTTAGATAATAATGTCATTCTTAAAATGAATCCTTAATTATAAAGAGTTTTTTATCATAGATTTCATAATTAATCTTCATTATTGAAAATTTTCTTAAATAGAAAGCTACTAGATAGAGTTTGTCATATGCTCTCATTTGTGATAATACTACACCTAACACAAAGTCCTATGTATCTATTTTTATAAAAAAAATTCTTAGAGAAGTCAATACAATATAAGATTGGTGTAGAAATAAATTCTTTTTTTAAAGCATTAAACAATACTTTGA